TTCCATAAAACCCTTTTCTGAGGAGCTTCTGGCTCAGCTCTAAAGCAGGCTATCTGGTCTTAAAAAGGGCTTGTAATCACGTTGCCCTTAATAATTATGTTCAGAGTAAGTACTCAGACCTCTCACTCCTGAACTGAAAGTCAGTTTTTTAGCTATTAGAAACATGACTGATATGAGAACATTAGGTCTACCTAGCGCATTATTGTCCTGTAAGGACTTGGTAGGTGAAAGGAATAGCTTATGGATATAGTAAGATGGAATGAACAGTCTCCATCATGCCCGTTGCATCTTTAGGTCTAAAATAAAGGAGGCAGTGGACTAAAGAGAAATCCTATGAATTCCGCCTCTTTAAAATGTTGATTAGTTTAGGGGCACCTGGGTGGCTCAGTCGGCTGGGTGTCCGACTCTTGATCTTGGCTCGGGTCTTGCTCTTAGGGTGGTGAGTTCAAGCCCCATGTTGGGCTCTGCACTGGGCGTGAAATCCATTTAAAAAAAAATAAAGTTGATCAGTTTAAAAGGACATTTGTTAACTTTTCCAACTATGTACTAACCTGTCACAGCAAACGCATACAGCTTTTATGATAAAAGAAATTCTGAAAAGAAAAATAAGAAGGAAAACTTGTGTCTCCAGGGTGAGAATTTTGTAAAATTAGAAACAGGCCACTCTTGGTTAAGAAGGTATTAAGTGTAGTGAAGCAGAATGGGTTTGGTAGTGGTGAAAATGTAGGGGGTGGGGCAGAACTTTCAGTTGGCTTTTTGTTTTCTCATCATGGCTGCATGTTTCAGCACACAGGTGACACTTACTGTGCTGTTGGCTTTTTTACCTGTTGGACTGTTTTCTTGTAGGTAACTTGGCTGTGATTTCATTCTGTGTGTTTTGTTAGCCAGTCTTCTAATCATATATTGGCCAGTCAAGAAAGTTTTTGTTTTGGGTCACATCCTGCAGAGCTTTAGCTATTAGCAGCTTTGGGAGATACAAAAAGTAAAGCATGGTCTCCTTCCTTAAGGAGTTAATGATCTCATGGGTGATGTGAGAGTAAGCATATTAAAAGCCAGGACTCTATATATAAGTGCTGACTGAGTGATTAGCATAGTAAGAACCATAAAAATGTGTAGGACAAAGAGACTGTTGAGCCTGGAGTTGTCAGGAAAGGCTGCCAGAGTAGTTTTCTCAAGCATACATCTGATCATGTCATCTCCTATTTAAAATCTTTCAAAGCTTCCTCTTACCTATCTCTACCAATTTCTTAGTGGTAAAGTTTGAACTCCTTTGCTTGCAAGAACGGTCATGATTTGACCCATGCCATCCTATCTAGTTTTAAATCTCTCCACTACCTAATATACATCCTGTCTTTCAACCATCCTTGATTCTGTGCTCTTCTCTGAACATAAGCTCCCAGTTGTCTCCGTGAATTTGCATTACGTGAAACTTCGTGTAGTAGCTTTGTCCCTTCCTTTTAATTCCTGGCTAACTTCTACTCATCTTTTAAGGTTTAGGTAGAGTCATTCATCTGGAAACTTTCACTAACTGCTCATGTTTCCCTCTCCTGTTCAGGTAGCTTAACCATTTCTCTTGTGTTCTTGAGCACTCTGTGCTTAGCTCTGTTATAGCATGTATCAAACTGTACTGAAGTTATTTCTCTTTTCTGCTAGACTTTTTCTTTCTTTTCTCTTCTCTTCTCTTCTCTTCTCTTCTCTTCTCTTCTCTTCTCTTCTCTTCTCTTCTCTTCTCTTCTTTTCTTTTCTCTTCTTTTCTTTGTAGGTTCCGTGCCCATTGTGGGGCTTGAACTCAGGACCCTGAGATTAGGAGTTGCCTCCACCAACTGAGGCAGCCAGGTGCCCTGTCATCTCTTTAAAGAATAGGGACTGTGACTTTGGTATCTATTGTCAGAGTCAAACACAGGCTCTTCTAGGGAGCTAGGTCCTTAATAAAGATATATTCAAAGAAGAAATGAGTAAATGAATAAACTAAATTTTAAGGAATAAATAGCATTTGGAGAGGTAGAGAGGGAGAGATTAGCATGTCATGAAGAGAAAATAGTATGAGCAAAGTGTCAGTGATTTAGATGAGACTACAGTTGTAAGTGGATTCTTTTGTGTTTGTTTTTGTTTCAAGTTTTTATTTAAATTCTAGTTAGTTAACATATAGTGTAATATTGGTTTCAGGAGTAGAATTTAGTGATTCATCACTTACATATAACACCCAGTGCTCATCCCAACAAGTGCCCTCCTTAATACCCATCACCTATTTAGCTCACCCCCCACCCACTTCTCTCCAGCAACCCTCAGTTTGTTCTCTATAGTTGAGAGTCTCATGATTTGCCTCTCTTTCTGTCTCTCTCCCTTTTTTCCTCTTCCCCTATGTTCATCTGTTTTGTTTCTTAAATTCCACATATGATTGAAATCGTATGGTATTTGTCTTTCTCTGACTGACTTATTTCATTTAGCATAATACACTCTAGCTCCACCCACATCATTGCAAATGGCAAAATTTCATTCTTTTTGATGGCTCAGTAATATTCCATCGTGTGTGTGTGTGTGTGTGTGTGTGTGTGTGTGTGCGCATGCGCGCGCGCGCGCCACATCTCTATGCATTCATAATTCAATGGACACTCAGGCTCTTTCCATAATTTGGCTATTGTTGATAATGCTGCCATAAACATTGGGGTGATGTGCCCCTTCGAATCACTATTTTTGTATCCTTTGTGTAAATCCCTGGTAGTGCAATTGCTGGGTTGTAGGATAGTTCTGTTTTTAACTTTTTGAGTTATAAGTGGATTCTGATTCAGTCTGCAGATGACACAGGTTTGGAAAGGATAATGAAGATGTTAGATAACTGAATCAGCATCTAAAAAGATCAAAATACATTGGAATTACAGTGGTCAAATCTAATAAAGATCTTGGCTTTGAATACTTACAGGACTCTATTAAGTGAAAGCCTACACTTAAAAAAAAAATTCTAGGGGCGCCTGGGTGGCTCAGTCGGTTAGGCGTCCAACTTCAGCTCAGGTCACGATCTCGCGGTCTGTGAGTTCGAGCCCCACGTCGGGCTCTGGGCTTATGGCTCAGAGTCTGGAGCCTGCTTCCGATTCTGTGTCTCCCTCTCTCTCTGCCCCTCCCCATTCATGCTCTGTCTCTCTCTGTCTCAAAAAAAATTAAAAAAAAAAAAAAAGTTAAAAAAAATTCTAACAGTTCCAAATGAGAGCCAATAGGTAGAGTTTATAGTGAAGCAAATGATGACATTTTATAGAACTATTAAATCAATATGTATTGCCTTAGGAGGTAGTAAATTCTCTATTAAATCTTAAATCAGGAATATTACAGAAGTATGCAGGATCTGGGCATACCTTTCAACCCCGAATAGATGATTCTTTGTTGTTGAAGGGAATCATGTTTCAGCAGGGAATGACACTAGATAACTAATTCTAACTCCTAAGTTCTGTGGTATATAGTAGGAAGAGATCAGTGTTCTTGCAAGGCAGGAAAGGATTCAAAGCTGAAAAGAAGGATGTGAAGTTCAGACCAGAGACCGGGATGAGGTAGCCTTACCGAATGGCTATAAACTTAGAAATGTGAGCAGGTAGTACATTCACCTAGAAGTAGAGAGAGAGTGTTGGCATTATTTGGAATGGTGCCTATGTGACCCTTACTAGCTAGTCAGTTAGAAAGGAAGAACCAGGCAGCGGGGAGGGAAAACCTCACTGATGTTTGTGTGGATTGCTGGTGAACCAGAGTTCTATAATTCTGCCACTTTCTCCTCTGGAATGCTGACTGACTTGGAGCAAAAAATGGAAGAGTTGAGCAATGTGGTAATTCAGGTTTGCAGATTGTCACGGTGAATGTAGTGGTAGAAGGTTAGGCAGATGACAGTTCCTGGGGTATTAATGATGGCAGCTTTGAATTGCTTAACTGTGTTGTCTAGCATAGACTGGAATAATCTTAGATGCTCTTAAAGGGAATGGAGTGATGAAGGTTAGGAATGATTAGAGGTACAGAAGGTTGATAAAGATGACTGTTAAGTAGGTATGTTTGGAGCAGAAATGAGGCCCAGGAATGGCAGCGTGATGGCTGGATATGCACAGGAGATCAAGTAATTTGAGGATGCCACAGGGTGCCTGTGAAGATAATCAGTGTGAACTAAGTTGTTGTGGAGGTTAAGGCAGATTTACCATGTGGAGGGGGACAGGTGGCAGGGAGTGGTCCATGACAGCAAGGATGATTTGAATAAGGTAGTATGGGGATGGCATAGGCTTCAAATAGAAGAAAAAGAGCAAGGCTGATGGATCAGTGGGGTGGAAGCACCCTGGGGAATTGGCGGGTGTGGTAGAAAGGGAGTCCTCTGCAGGACCAGGCCTCTGGAACAGTGATTGCCAAGTATTGGCAGTCATGTATTTGTTAAAGAGGTGCACAAAATGGAGAATGAAGGAGAATTTGCCTACAAAGAAGTGGCTCTGTAAGACTTAGGAGAAGGCAGGGGTGGGGGAGATGTGCAGTGTGGGTAAACTGAGCAGCTTTCTGACTTTGCCTGATTGGTAAAGGCTGGTGAGGAAAGTAGGACAGGAGAGGGTGGGGGCAGAGCATTGGTCAGGCAGATCAGTTTGCAGAGAGGGAGATGTAACCACTGCTAATACAAGGGTCCCAAATGCCAAGGCCACTCCACCTCTTCTGCAGGTGGTCTTCACAGCTTTGGCTTTATGGAGGTTGTTTTGGGGGAAGCAGAGAATCACTCACTCCCCAGAGGATTATGATGTTAAAGAGACTTCGCCACAATATGGTTTCTGAGGCATATGGGACTCTGTCTCATCTGTAAAGCAGCAACATGGTCGGGACAGGGGAGGAAGTCCAGAGAGGCCAAATCTTCCCAACAACAAGACACTTCTCATGGGTCTATGGAAACTATCTTCACAGTCCACAGAGAAGCTGGGGTGTGGATGAAGCCGGGGTATGGGAACTTGTCCGGGCAGCACTAAGCCAGTGCCTTCTCTGTGTTTCCTTTACAGATGAACGGGACCGTGTTCAGAAGAAGACATTCACCAAATGGGTCAATAAGCACCTGATGAAGGTAGGACTCCTTCACAGATGTTGCACTGGCACCTCTGGCTGCTCTTCAGCTGGATTTATCAGTCTTGTCTCTTGGATAGTTCAGATTGCTTGTCATGTGCTCAATGTAGATACACATGTGACTTTTTAAAAATAACTAACATAGTCATAACAGTGTGGAAACTTGTACTGATCGGTTTCTTGGAGACAACAGTAATAAATGCCATTACCTCAGAAGGTTGAGGGTTGAGGTTGCCGGGGGGGTGATTCCTAGATTCAAAGAACACTTTGTTCCTAGCTTTATAAATTATCTTCTAAGCTCCCTTCTTTATTTTTTTTCTAGATTTGACCACTGTGTAAGGATGGGGAAGAGGGGCTTTTATTCTCTAAGTGTACAAATCGTAAATGTTTAGTTTAAGCAATTTTTACATGTGTATATACATTATAACCACCATGCAGTTTAAGATGCAGAGTACTTCCAGAATTGCTGGTGGGGGGGTTGGTGGGGAGGGACAGATTTTATCATTATTTTTAAATAGAGGAGAAACCTAGGCAGAGGCCTGTTATAATTTTTTTTTTTTAACGTTTATTTTTGAGACAGAGAGAGAGCATGAACGGGGGAGGGGCAGAGAGAGAGGGAGACACCGAATTGGAAGCAGGCTCCAGGCTCTGAGCCATCAGCCCAGAGCCCGACGCGGGGCTCGAACTCACGGACCGCGAGATTGTGACCTGAGCTGAAGTTGGACGATTAACCGACTGAGCCACCCAGGCACCCCAAGCAGAGGCCTGTTAAAAGCCCACCTCAGGGAGCGCCTGGATGGCTCACTTGGTTGAGTGTCTGACTTCAGCTCAGGTCATGATCTCATAGTTTGTGAGTTCGAGCCCCACATCGGGCTTGCTGCTGTCATTGTAGAGCCCGCTTCAGATCCTCTGTCACCGCTTCTCTCTGTCCCTCCCCTGCTCACACTCTCGCTCTCAAAATAAATAAAAACATTAAAAAAAACACACACACACCTCAGGCTAAGCAGTGTGACTAATATGGCAGTCAATATTTGAAAACAAAAGTTTTGAATATTGTATAATAATTACTCAAATAATTCAGAAAATTTTGAGTTATATTGATTACTGCTCGGGAAAGGTCACCAGTGACCTCTTAATTGCTGTATCCAGTAGCCTGGTTTTGTCTTTCTCTTATTTGATTTCTCTACAGCATCTGATACTGTTGACTAATTTATTATTTCTTAAAACCCTCTTTTATGTTGGTTTCTCCTACACTGCTTTTTCCTGAATTACCTCTTTCCTCTATGAAAGCCTTTTTCATGCTTCTCTGGCCTTTCTTTCTGACTTCTCCATGTTGCTGGTCCCTAGGGTCCTAACCTTACCCATTTTCTAGTTTTGTTCTCTGTACTCGTCTTTGGCAGTCTCTTGTGTTAGTCACAGGGATCACTGGTGGCGCGGAATGCAAGAAAGCACAGGAAGAAAAAGAATACAAGGTGATCTCATAGAATCTGGTGTCTGGAGGCAGCTAGGCTTTACGAAAAACTAAACATTATCAGGCAGCTACTCTCTTTTTATGAGGCCTTGTGTTCTTTCACTTTTATTTCTTTCTGTATGCCTCCTGTGTCTCTGCATTTCTCCCATTGCTTGTGTGTAAGCTGTGGTGGTTGTCTCTCAAATGGTGATATAAACCCTTGTGGCTGCAGGATTCTGAAGACAATAGAAAATCTGATCGGCTGGGGTTTCTTTTTCCTCCATGGGTCAGGTGTCCATCTATAGCTCAGTAATCTGTAGCTAGGGAGATGGTTACATAAATTAAACATACCTCCTTAGGGCCACTTGTTTAATGGGAATTGCAGTTGAGGGCAGTTTTCAAACTATAAAGTATGGATAAGGACATAATGAGGGGCACCTGGGTGGCTCAGTCTGTTAAGCGTCTGACTCTTGATTTCAGCTCAAGTCATGATCTCTTGGTTCTCTCTGAGATTAAGCCCCACATGTGGCTCTATGTTAATAGTGCAGAGCCTGCTCAGCATTCTTTCTCTGCCACTTATGTGTGCACACGCACTCTCTCTCTCTCAAAAAAAAAGGACATAATAATAGAGCCATTTCCTGTATTCTTTCCTAAGCCAAAGACCGTGTACTAGACACGTTCATCTGGATGTCACTCAGACATATCTTATATTCAACACATCCCAAATTGCTAAATATTTTCACTCACGTACCTAGCTGTCCAAATTAGGAACCTAGAATCGTACTATTTTCAGCCTGCCAATCATCCCCTTGTCACCAGCTCCAGTCACTCACTTCCAACTCAGAAAATGCTTGCATCTGACTTTTCCTCTCTATCTCCATGACTTCTGTTCTAGTCTAGGGCCTCTTCAGCTTGCCTTGACCACTGTAATAGTTCCCAATATTGTTTTCTGTAGTAACAATGTTAAGGAAAATAGTTTACCGAGTGCTTCCTGTAAAGCGGACATTCTGTACTAAGTCCCTTACATGCATTATCTCATTTAATCCTCACTGACGATTGCTGTAGACTCTATAATTTTCCCATTTTATCAATGAGGAGAATGAGGTTTAGGGAGGTTAACTTGTTCAAGGTCACACCACTAGAAAGAGACAGAACTGAAATTTTAGAATTCAGGCAGCCTAAAGTCTAGAACTTGTGCTGTTAACATCAGTAATGGCCCCGGCTTCTGCCTACGTTTCCAGCCTCAGAGTGTTGAATTTCCCTCCTACCTCAGGCTCTTGCTGAACCATGTGCCATGCTATTTTATGACTCTGTATCTTTGCTCATGCTGCTTTCTCTGCGTGGAGCCTTCTCCAGCTCTGTTTTACTTGCATAATACCAATTTAACACCTCCTCAATAAATATTTTCCGGAGTCTCCCATATGGAATTGACTACCATTTTCTTTGTGCCCTCACTGTATTCCTTACATACTTCTGTTACAGTATTTATATACATTCCATATTTTCTGTTTGATTGTAACTTGAAGGCAGATCTTATGTCTTATTTTGTTAGTGTCAGAAGAAAGAAGAAAGGAAGAGACACATGGAGAGAAAATTGCTATTCCCCTCTAATTCCTTCAGTGTGTACCATTTGCCCTCAGTTTGGTGACACAGAACTCTATCATGATGCAGAACCCTTCCCAAGCTGGTTCCAAGCTGCCCAGCTTCATTTGCAGGCATTCTCGCCTGTGTGGCCTGTGCTTGGTCACATGACACAACTCAGTGCTCCCTAAACACTGTGTGCTTTCACACCTCTTTGCTTATTCATTTCTCTCTCCCGGGAATGCACATCCCAGTGTTCTCTGCCTGGCCATCACCCACTTACCCTTTAAGGCCCAGCTCCAATATCACCTTCCTGAGAATCTGACCTCCAGTCCTTAGACTAAATTAATTGCCACTCTCTGTTCCATACCACTTTGAAGTGATGCCTCGTGTGCTCACTCATTGGTCTCCTCCGTCGGTGCACTCACTGAGGGCTAGGGTTTGTATTGTACTACTTTGTCTACTATGTACTGCACCACAGATGTGAGAAGTACCCAGTATTTGTTGCCCTGAGTAAATAATATTCTAATAGTGCTTTATAGCTTATAAAGCACATTCTTATCTGGCTTGATTCTTATAATAACTGAAGGAAGTAAAGGTTTTTTTTTTTTTTTTTTTAATTTTTTTTTCAACGTTTTTTATTTATTTTTGGGACAGAGAGACAGAGCATGAATGGGGGAGGGGCAGAGAGAGAGGGAGACACAGAATCCAAAACAGGCTCCAGGCTCCGAGCCATCAGCCCAGAGCCTGACGCGGGGCTCGAACTCACGGACCGCGAGATCGTGACCTGGCTGAAGTCGGACGCTTAACCGACTGCGCCACCCAGGCGCCCCGGAAGTAAAGGTTTTTAATCCTCTCGATGCTCACAACTAAGGAAAGTGAGAGTCAGAATGATAAAGTGACTTTCCCAAGATCATACAGCTGGTGGAAGGATGGAGCTAGGGATCACTCGCAAGTCTCATGATGAAAATTACTTGTTCTTTCTACTAAATATGCCCCCAATTTATTTTTTCATGCCTCATCTCTAACAATCAGAAGAACTGAATTTATCCTGACTCAGGCTTGTCCCTTAAACTTTGTACTTTGAATACAAATGCACTGGCTCGCTGCTGTTGCTGGTTGGACCTCTGCCTCAGTGCTGTGTGATGACAGGAGGCCCAGGGAGGGAGAAACCAGATGAATACAGTGGAGCATTGTTAGAAATTGGAAGCTGGCCAGAACTTTACTTCAGTCCCCGGCTATTTTTCATCTCTTCTCAGACACCCAGCCAAGGGCATTTCTCATCTAGGGATATTTCAGAGGGAGTCACTGCTAATCAGAATCACTGCTCCATGCTGGCATCCTTTGAACTTTGGTCTGAGAATTACAGATCGAGATTTGCTTTTTGTAGTTCAGGCATCCCTTGCTGTGCTCCCCAAGTACACCCAGATTAACGTGGCCATTGGCAAGTAGATGGATATAAGATCAAAGCAACCAAGCCTCCTAAGTTCTGGATTTAGTTGACCTAGGATCCCTTGGATCCCCAGCTATCTCTGTGGGAAACAGTTTGTTGTGGAATAAGCAAATTAATTCTTCTTTCTTAGTTGAGAACACTGTTGGTCCAATCTTAAAAGAGATTTGCTAAGGCTGTTAGCATCTTAATATATAAGTAACCTAATTTAGAATGCAAGCCTACAAACCCAAGAGTTCTGAGCATATACTAGAACCATCAAAAGGAAAAATCTAGAGTTTTGTTATTTAAAAAAAATTTTTTTTTCAAGTAGACTCCTCACCCAACGTAGGGCTCGAACTCATGACCTCGAGATGAAGAGTTGCATGCTCTACTGGCCAAGCCAGCCAGGCACCCCCAAATATCCAAAGTTTTAAATGAGCACGGGTCTTTCACAGGTAAAAAGTCTGGGACAATTATAATCTGTTTTTTAGCATTAGCTTTTAGGCTTTTCCTCAAGGATAAATTTGGCCATGGAATC